AGCCAGTGCAGCCCTGGTTTTGGCACTATTCTCCACCTAAAGGATCCTCTGTCTTTTTTTTTTTTTTTTGAGACAGCGCCTTAAGCTGTCGCCCTGGGTAGACTACCGTGGCATCACAGCTTATAGCAACCTAAGTGATTCTCTTGCCTCAGCCTCCCAAGTAGCTGGGACTATAGGTGCCTGCCCCAACGCCCAGCTGTTTTTTTGTTTGCAGCTATCATTGTTGTTTGGCAGGCCTGGGATGGATTTGAACCCACCAGCTCAGGTTGTATATGGCTGGCACCTTAGCCACTTGAGCCACAGGATCCCCTGTCTTGGTGTCATGTGTAAAAGAGGTCTAAGCATGGCCAGGTTGGCAGGGCTGGCCTCTAGGAGCTGGGATTTTGGGGAGGCCCCACCTTTCCTGGTAAGAGGTTTAGGAGCAGGGAGCCCCTCTTATCAGGAAAGGGAGGGTTTGTGCTGAACACCTGCTTTCTCCTCTGGGCTTTTGTTCTGTCTTGGGCAGTAGGTGCCCCTATAACCAGCCCCTGAGTCATCCTGAGAGACTCTGGGGAGAAGCCTGAAAGCTGTATCTGGCCTCCTCCCAACTTCACCCCAAGCTCTTTTTTCCCTTTGCTGACTTTGCTGGGTATCCTTTTGCTGTGGTAGATCACAGTCTCAAGTACAACCCAAGCTGAGTCCTGGAGTCCTACTTGGGCTGGCCTTGTGGGCCTAGACAGATTGCCTCATCCTGAGATGGGGTGAGCACAGGGTTAGTGACAGCAGTCTGCCCTGGGCTGTTCACCACAGTAACTATGGGTGCCCACAGCCTGTGAAGCCCCTATGAAGAGTCTGGCACCAGTGTCCTTTCTCCAAATCTGTCTTTGCAGCCATGAGGCTGACCTCCCCTCCCCCTCTCCTATTTGTGGAGGACACCGGGACTCATCTCAGGTGCCAGAGACAAGGGCAGGGTGAGCTTTACTGTGGTGTGGCACTATATTCTGTGACCTGGGGCAACACATCTGCAGTCAGGGCTGAGTGGCTAAGGGGCCTTGAGCGTCTGTGAGGTCAGGGCCCCTTCTGTTTGCTGCCCAGAATGTGAGGGGTTGGTGGTGTTGTCCTGTAGCACTGACAAAGCGTCACCAGTCCCATGGGCCACTGTCTGCCCTCATGTCAGGAGTCAAATGTGTCAGGGCTACAGCCCTGGAAGCTGCCACTAGTGTTCAGAACAGCACTCCCCTCCCAGAAGCCTGAGCTTGGGTGGTCCCCATGACCCTGCACCAAGCATCCCTGTGTCTGCCCCATGCAGGGACCGGGTGAGTGGTGCATGGCCCTGCAGTGAGGACCCTAGCCCACTGGGAGCATGTTCCTTGTTGCCTTTTTGTTTGCTATGTTTTTTGGTCTGGTGATACCAAGGATCCTCAATCATCCTGGTCTGTGATCTTCCAGGCCTGGGCATCCAGAGCAGGGGCTACTTCTGCTCTCAGGAGTCTGAGCCAACTGGCTGCATGTGCTATTGGGAAACTCTCCAGTGTTGTGGGTCTCACTGTCCCTTCCAGCTCTAGGAGGAAGCCCGAGCAACAGGGGTCTGTGGGACAGAGGGAGCACCAGCAGGGGCTTGGTCTGCAGCTGCCCTTGATATGGGCTGCTATCACTATGGCTGGTCCTGGCCCTGGCTGCTACAACTCATGCCTCATGCTGCTGCCCCTGTCTGTCAGGCCCGGGTGGTCAGGTTGCCCTGACGGTGTCCGCTTTCTTCACCTTATCCACCCCACTGCTTAAAGCCCTCCCACCTGAGTCCTGCCTATACACGGCCCTGGCACCATACATGCGTGTTTAATGGAGCTGCCCTTCTCTCTGTCCTACTGTGGCTACCTTCATACACAGCCCTGGCAAAGGGTGTGGGGAACTGTGCCCTGCTTGCCTGTGCGGGACCTGGCTTCTCACAGCTGCTTGTGGATCAGTGGAGATTGCCAGTTCCCTCAAGTGCTCCCTAAAGGGTCCAGAGCAGGGAGTGCTCAGGAGTCCAAGGCAGGGGCTGAGAGCTAAGGGGAACTCTGGAACTCTGGCTGCAGAGGCCATGCTAGAGCAGGTGCACATGCTGGCTCCCTGGCCTGTCAGCTGCGTTCCTACTTAGTTGGCCTGTTGGCTTCTGGCCTCTGTTCATCCTCCTCTGTGGCCTATGGGCTCAGTCCCAGAAGCTATAGACCAATCCTCAGCCCACCCCCTGGCCTGGGCTCTCTTGATGCCTGGTCTGGGGTGGGGGTTCGCCCAGCTGTGAATCTTGGTGCCCTTTCTGTCCCCTAGATGGGATGTGAGGGGATGTCTCTAGCAGCTGCCCGGCCCTGGGCATGTTTGAAGTGGGTTGCAGTGGCAGGAGGGGCCCAAGGGAAGAAATGCTATATTTAGTGAGCAGGGAGAAAGCTGGAGCCCAGTGTAGACCTACAAGCAGCCCCCTTCTCGGGGGCTAGGCCTCCTGGCCTTCCCTTCTCAGCCCCTCCATTTTGCCCCTTTAGACTTTCCCCCAGCCCCTAAGCTCTGCAGTGAGAGCTCTCCTCACTGGGGCCCGCGCACCTGCTGGGGCAGGCTGGACACTCCTATGATGGAGTAGGTGGCTAGGGAGACCCTGTTCTCACTATGGCTGCTCTAAGACTCCAAGGTGCTTATTAGGAAGGTTTTAGGCCTTGCCTACCTGTGTTTAAGTGGTTCCCCAAGGGCTTCCTATGTTTCTTAGTCTGGGAGGGGGAGGGAAGGACAGCCCCACTCCCCTGAAGTGCTCTCTGGCCTGGGCCCCTTGTACCTGCCACAAGTAGTACCCTTTTGTGGGGCTGGCATCCTGAGGAAGAGGATAACCACAAGGATTGTGGGCAGGAGGAGGAGTTGCCTGGCCCCCCCATTGGGACTGAAGGGCAGGATGGGCTCTGCACTTGGTGCCACTGCCCATGCCCTGCCCTGAGGCTGGTTGTCCTTTAGGTAGAAATTTCAGGTAGCGGTTTGGCGCCTGTGGCTCAAGTGGCTAAGGCACCAGCCACGTACACCCAAGGTGGCGGATTTGAATCCAGCCTGGGCCCGCCAAACAACAATGATGGCTATAACCAAAAAATAACCAGGCATTGTGGTGGGTGCCTTTGGTTCCAGCTACTTGGAAGGCTGAGGCAGGAGATTCGCTTGAGCCTAGGAGTTGGAGGTTGCTGTGAGCTGAAATGCCATGGCACTCTACCCAGGGGGACAGCTTGAGACTCCTGTCTCAAAAAAAAAAAAAAGAAAAGAAAAGAAAAGAAATTTTGGGTAGGGAAGCTGAGTGATGGTGTGTAAATTATAGGACAGGCACACAGTAGACTTGGGGATGCTACTGTGGGCTGGGGTGATAGGCTGCTCATCCCATGCCTTAGGAAGCCACTCTTTGCCTATCTTGGGTCTGTCTGTGGTAGAGAGGCTCGTGGGGCCCTCAGGATATGGGTTCCGTCTATGATCAGCCCTGAGCCTCAGGCCCTGCTTGCCTCCTAAGGTGTAAAGGAAGCTCCTGTGGCATTACTTTGGGTGGGGAGTCCTTCCTCAGGGGCTTGAGATCCCAAAGGGGTTCTCTGTGGTGTGTCCCCAGGTGGCAGACATCCCTTGCTGCCTTCTATCCTCTCTGTCCTGGGCATTCCTCTGGGGTCTGGGCAATTCACAGTGTTTACTCCTGCCTTGTACCCACAGAGAAGAGCCTGGAGCAGGAGCTGGCCACGCCCATCCTGGACATCGAGGACCTGGTCAAGAGTGGGAGCAAGCACAGGTGAGGCTGAGTCTTCTGTGTCTGCCCATGGCCAGATTCTCCCTGATGCATGGAGGCACAGATATATTGCTTTTCTTTTTTTTCTCTATTGCTCCACTCCCCAGCACCTGTGGCTCAGGGGAGTGGAGCACCAGCCCCATATGCTGGAGGTGGCGGGTTCAAACCCAGCCCTGGCCAAAAACTGCAAAAAAAAAAAAAGTTGAGGATCTTTTTTTTTTTTTTTTTGAGACAGAGTGTCACTATGTTGACCTCAGTAGAGTGCTGTGGTGTTGCAGCTCACAGCAATCTCAAACTCTTGGGCTTAAGCAAGTCTCTTGCCTTAGCCTCCCAAGTAGCTGGGACTACAGGCGCCTGTCACAATGCCCAGCTATTTTTTGGTTGTAGTTGTCATTGTTGTTTGAACCCTGGACTGGGTTTGAACCTGCCAGCCAGCTCTGGTGTATGTGGTTGGCGCCCTAGCCTCTGAACTACGGGCGCTGAGCCAAAAAGTTGAGGATTTTTGAGACAGAGTTTTACTCTGTCATCCAGGCTAGAGTGCAGCAGTCTGATCACAGCCTACAGTAACCTCATACTCCTGGGCTAAAGCAATCCTCCTGCCTCAGCCTCCCGAGTATCTGGTACTACAGGTGCGCACCACTGCACCCATCAGATTGTTTTATTTTTTTGTAGAGACAGGGTCTTGCTCTTGCTTAGGCTGATTTTGAACTCCCTGGCTTCAGGGGATCCTCCCAAAGTTAGGATTACAGGTGTGAGCCTTGTGCCCAGCCTGGCCACGTTTATAACTTTAAGGATTCAAGTTGTGATTAGAGTTTCTTACACTGAGGGGAAAAGCCTGTACTTTTTTTAGTGCTTCTATGTTTATTTTTCTGATGACCTCTATCCAATAATAGGGTTAAGGATGTTTTTATTTTTGCATAATTTAAAAATAGGTGGTATGTTTGCATGGTTGTTTTCCCTGTCTGTCCCCAGTCCCTGCACTTGATGTACTGTCTCTGGCATGGGCTCACCTTCTCCTCTCGCTTCTCTCCCCAGAGTGTGCCCTTACTACCTTTCCCGGAGCCTGAAACAGCAAGCCGACATCATCTTCATGCCGTATAATTACTTGCTAGATGCCAAGGTAAGGACTCTGTCCTCTGCAGCCTAGCGTTCTGCTGTCAGAGGAGTGTCCTGGGGCTCCAGAAGGGCCATCTGAGCCTTGCTGTTGGACTATCAGAGCAGCAGGTGTGGATCACTGGTTAGGGGCTCAAACCTGGCCAGATACAGCTATGAACAGCCAAGGCCATGGGTTATTCGCTCTTAGCAATCTTGGAGTGAACCAGCTGGTGGGATTGAGGAGATGCACAGGCTGTGGCCCATGGGCCAGTGCCTGTCCTTGGTCCTGGCAGTTCAGATTGCTTCTCTTAAATCAGCCTGTGGGAGTGCAGGGAACGCATCCATCCCCCTTGTGATGTGTGCTTATCTGCAGGTTTATGTGCTTTCGTATTTAGCGTGGATGGAGCCATGCTCCGCATGCTCAGCAGCTTTTATTTTCACGTATTGATGGTGTTGTGGTGTCTTCCTCTCCGGGTCCCTTTGCTCATCCCCGTTCTTCCTGTGATGGGTATTTATTGAGAACCCTCTATGCTGACTCAGCATATCTGGCCTCACTCCCTGGGGCCTTGATTTTGGGGGCAGGTAGATGACAGGTGTAAGCCCATGGTGCCAGGTGTGGCTCATACCTGTAGTCCCAGCTACTCAGAAGGCTGAGGCAGGAGCATTACTTTACCCCAGGTGTTTGAGGCTGCAGTGAGCTGTGATGACACTATTGCACTTGAGCAAGGGTGACAGAGCTAGTCTCTGTCTCAGAAAGAAAAAAGCACTTGTGCTGTTGATATGGGGCTCTGACAGCCCAAAGGGGTGCAATAGAGCGAGAGGGAGGTGTATGTAGGGGTGGTCCAGGGGCAGACATTTAGGGCAATGGCAGAGCCCTATGGGGGGTGGCTGTGCCCTGGAGATCAGTGTCACATTGGGAACTTGGCATGCTGATGAGGTTGGCAGTAGTGGCCCTGCCTGGTAACACTGTGTCATAACTGTTAAGCTGATTCTGACTTTTTCATGGAAACACAAAAGCTCAGTTTTGAAGAAGGACGAAGTTGGAGGGCTTGTCTTCCCTGACTTCATGGTGAAGTCATGCAGTAACAGGGGCCTGCACTCTGGCTTAGGGGTATACATATAGGTTGGGGAGCAGATATAGCCCACCAGACCTGCATGTGAGTAGAGGGATATCTGGAAGAGAAGGCATCTTAACCCTGACAACACTGTAGAGGCCTAAACAGAAACACTGCAGCTTAACCAGGGTGGGAGGGGTTCTTTGTAACTTTGGGGTAGGCTGGCATTTCTTAAGTTGGATGTGCAAAGTTCCAGCCATAACAATTGGACTGTACCAAGATTTAAGGCTTTAGCTCTTTGGGAGGGCTAAGAAAGGTAAGAAAATGAAAAGAGAGAAAATGCTACTATCATTCAAAGGAATTTTTATTTTTTAATTTTTTTTGAGACAAAGTCTCATTCTCTTGCCCAGGCCAGAGTGCTATGGCATAAGCCTACCTCATAGCAGCCCCAAACTCCTGGGCTCAAGCAATCCTCCTGCCTCAGCCTTCCAAGTAGGTGGGGCGACAGATACCCACCACAACACTCAGCTAATTTTCTGTTTTTGGTAGAGACAGGGTCTCTAATTCAAAGGAGTTTTGACCAAGTTGTAAAATGTTCTCATAACTAAACTAACAAATCAGTTAATCACGGGGAAAAGATCTGAACAGACATCCTGCCAGGGTGGCAGGTGAAATAAACGGCCAGTTTAGCATATGGAAAGATGGCCAGCATCACTGGTGATCAGGAAAATGTGGATTAAATCTACGGGGAGTTAATACTGCTTTCATACTAAAATGGATAATATTTAAAAGATTTAAAATGAATGTTGGGTGAGGGTGTACAACTGGGAGTCTCATCCTTTGCTTTGAGTGTGTGGAATGCTGGCTGCTCTGTGTACCCACCAAATAGCACAGCTGCCAGAGAGGACTCTCTGTCTAGAGGCTTGGATGTATACGCTGACTGCAGCTTTATTTAGTCAGCAAAGCTGGGAAGCAGCCATGTGGGCCATTGACAGGGGAATGGCAAATCATGGCATGTCTATTAAGCAGAAGACCACCAGCGAGAAGAGGGTATGGGCTGCTGGCCATGAGGCCATGTGGAGTGGTTGGCCTCAGACCTGCTAGCTCAGAGGGCTGTGTGAAGCCTCTGTTGTATATGTTCTAGGCAGGGAGCTGGTGGTGATGCAGTACTCAACGTTTGTCAAAACTCAACTGTATGCTTGAAATGAGTCTTCTATTTTATAAAAATTAAGCTTCAAAATTAGTTAAAAATAATAGTCAGGTGTTGTGGGGGGCGCCTGTAGTCCCAGCTACTTGGGAGGCTGAGGCGAGAGAATTGCTTAAACCCAAGAGTTTGAGGTTGTGCTGTGATGTCACAGCACTCTACTGAGGGTGACGTAGTGAGACTCTGTCTCAAAAAAAAAAAATTAGTTAAAAATACAAAGGCTGGACCTACCCCTGATTGCTTCCACCACACCCTGTGGGGTAGGACCTAGGTATTGGATTTGAAATCTCACTGAGGGTGTGATGGGACAGGAAACTGCTAGGTGTGGACTTTCTAGCACCTGCATTTTTGTGGCTGCTGGGCTGCCGAGCTGCTGTGGTCTGGGGTTCCACTGGCTCCTTTGGCCTTCTCACTGGCCATGACACTCCCCTGAGTACTGTGTGAGCTGTCCAAGCTGGTTGACATGGGGTCCCAGCTGTGCTGCTGGGCTGCTGTCCTGAACCAGCCTTGGCCACCTGCACCCTGACAGTCTGGTGCGAGATGCCTCTCCCCACATCTTCCTTGGCCTTGTGTGTGGTCTGTGCATGTGATGTTGGGTGCCTGCCACATAACTCAGTCACTCTTTCCTGCCCTCTGCTCAGCAAGCCCGTGCTCAGGGGGGCTCTGTCCTGCCAGGCCAGCCCTTTGTTCCTTCTTGTAGAGTCGCAGGGCGCACAATGTTGACCTGAAGGGGACAGTGGTGATCTTTGATGAAGCTCACAATGTGGTAAGTCTCCACTTGCCTCTGTTGAGGTTCATGGCACTATTTTTTCTGGCTTTGTTGAAACCAATGCAAGCCTTTATGAATAACCTCTATCCACACTCAAGGCCCCGGGCTTCCAAACAAAGCCCACACAGGAGTGTCTGCTGCCCCTTTCCTGCTGGCCAGATGCCTTTCTGAGGCTAGAGACTGGCCAGCTGAGCAAGGACCTCCCCTTACTAGACTCTTTCCCTCTGGCTGGCTGGTGGGATCAGCCTGTCCTGGTGCTTTTTCCTGTGCCCGGTGGGCCCAGCACAACACAGGCCCACCATCCTGACCCCAGGAAGGCTACTATGGTCACATTCACACCCAGCCCCTGCCTCACCTCTGTGGCCGCTGCTCAGAGATATGCATTACCAGGATTGGTGCTGGAAAACAGCCACTTGGTTTGCATGCCCAGCCTCTCTGGAGCCTGGATATGGCTTCCTGCTGCAGGGCCTAGTGCCCTGGGACCACAGTGTCCCCTTGAAGCTCCCACTTGGTTACAGGAACTTATTGCAATTGAGATGATGGGCCAGGTCTTCTGACTTTTGAGAGAAGCCAGAAATCTCTAGATTTTAATGGGGAATTTTACAATTAAGAAATGTTGGCAACTCAAGTAAAGCAATCACTTTTAAACATTAGCTTGGGCTGGAAGGTCATCTCTGGACCCACCTGTGACCTGGGACATCTCGGGGCATGGATCTGAGAACTTGGCACTCAGCTTCCTGCCCTGCCATGCGTGACACTGGATACCTGTGCTCCTAGGAGAAGATGTGCGAGGAGTCAGCGTCCTTCGACCTCACCCCCCATGACTTGGCTTCAGGACTGGACGTCATAGACCAGGTGTTGGAGGAGCAGGCCATGGTGGCACAGCAGGGCGAGCTCCGCCTGGAGTTCAGTGCAGACTCCTCCAGCTCAGGTGAGTTTCCGGCTAGTCACTGTGACGCTGGAACTTCTCTGTCCTGTGTATGGGCCCCTGGTGCCTTCTGTTCAGTGACTGTTCAGGACAGCAGCAGCTTCCTTACAGAGCCTCTTAGCTGAGGAGGTGTCAGGTCCAGGAGACCAGGGGAAGGCTGGTGCTATTCAGTAGTTCTGGCCTTTTCTTTTTCTTTTTTCTTTTTTTTTTTT